CGGTTGGTAACTAGACCGACCTGGATCAGTCCTCTCTGAGATGAAGTGAGGTGAACTCCTGTGTCCGAAGTGAACCTCCTCGTCCGAAGTGTGTGGCGGGGCTTCTCCCCTGGTATCACTCCGACGATCAAGTTAGTATGAGAACGAGAATAATGAGAATGAGTTAATGAACAGTGTCCGCTTACTTGGTGGGAGTGTGAGGGAGGTATTTATAGAAGAGTAGAGGTGAGACTCTGGACTTATGTTAGTGGGACCCACTCTGACATTACGGCTCTGTCTCCTGTCGGGGAGTCTGACTCTGACACTGTAGCCGCCTGGGAGTGATGACGGAGGATATGGTGCAGGTGCCATCAAGTGCCTCACGTGCTTTTCAGATAAAGTGCTGGTCCTGGAAGATGTCAGGCAGGTTGACATCATCAGTGTGCGGCCGAGGTGGATGTGCCGAGGTCACCTACACGGTGGACTAGGGATGAAGCCGGGCTCTGGGATTGTGCTCAAGACAGGGATGGGCTCCGATGAGGGACGAGGTGACTTCACCTCGGACACGCGGGGTGGCCGAGGTGAGCACCCTCAGTAATATAAGTGCTCGTCTCTAAAATAGTGAAGTACGAGACAAAGAAAACAGGAAATTAACAGGATGTGCTACTCGCCTCAGCAAGTCTGGGATCCAAAAGCTGCCTTTTGTCCATAATGGCCGCGCAATTTTTATAAAATCTTCGCCCGAGGTTTTTTCATAATGTAATCAATGGGTTCATTTGCAATTGTTTTTGGTGTTAAAAACTGTCCTGCCGGAGCTTGACGACAGTGTAAAAGACAAAAAATCTTCCCTTTGTGGGAGCCTGGAAAAAAAAAAACGGAGACCAGTGTCGCCGGCATCCGATTGGGTTCCGTGAGGGGACTGGTGGATTGACTTCGTCAATCAAAGCCAAATGACACTCAAGTTGCCATTGTGAATGCCGCCAAATGGCTGTGATAACAGAAGTTAAAAAAGACTGATGGAACATTGGAATTCCCTCCTCTTGCCATAACACCCACACACAGAGCAAATCATGTCAAATCTCTAGCCTCAACTCAACCCGGATTCTTGATTACAATTCCCGGCTTCATCATGTCAGTATCATCTAACATGAACAAAATTTTCATCTGGGTATTCCTGTTTTCATTCTTTCTCCACTTCCATTCAATAAAATCAGATGAAGAAGAGCTTAGAGCAGCATTGAGTAATCTTATCACGGGGCTCACAGAAAGCGCTCCCCCAAATCAGGCTTCACCGTGGAATTTAACCTCTTATCCTTGCAGGGATCATTGGGATGGTGTCGCCTGTGATAACAGGAACTCTCTGAGGAATATCACCCTTGATGGCTTAAAACTTTCAGGAAATCTTAATGCCAGTTTCCTCTGCGACGTGCAATCTATAGCCGCGAGCCTAACTGTCATGAGTCTCAAGGATAACAACCTCCAGGGAGAAAGCCTGGCGGAGATCGCCAACTGCAGACAACTCACACGCCTGTACCTTGGAGGAAACCGCTTCAATGGCAGCCTTCCTGACTCGTTCCTGAGATTGAATAATCTCAAAGTACTTGACATATCATCGAATAACTTCTCTGGCACTCTACCTGATTTGTCCCGGATATCTGGTTTGATAGAGTTCTCTGCTCAAAATAATCAGCTGTCTGGGTTTCTTCCCAGTTTTGAATTTTCCAATTTCCACACATTTAATGTTTCTAATAACAATTTTAGTGGACCTATACCGAGTGGTGGCGATCGCTTCCCCACGAGTAGCTTCACGAAAAATGATCAACTATGTGGCCCTCCGCTTCCAAATAGCTGCCCATCAGCGTCCTCTGATTCATCCGACAAGCCAAAGGGGGGCTACTCAAAAGATGAGATTCTGACGTTCTTGGGCTATTTCTTGCTAGGCTTGACTGTGTTGCTTGCCACCATCGTCTTTCTCTGCAGAAGGTGCAAGAAAGCTGAAGCTAAGGTCGAAGCAGATTCTAGGGTAGCTTCAGTTGATGATAGCATCAGTAAGCAAATTTACACGCCGAGCAACTTCAAGACTGGTCCAGTCAGCAAGTCTGACTACTCGACTGCTTCAGGTGAAAGCGCAGTGGTACCGTCATCACTAATAGTTCTCAGTAGCCCTGAGGTGAGTGGGATAAGGTTTGAGAATTTACTCAAGGCTCCTGCTGAGTTGCTGGGAAGAGGAAAACACGGTAGCGTCTACAAGGTTTTCTCCGAAGAAATGGGCATGATTTTGGCCGTAAAAAGGATCAAGGATTGGACAATATCTAGCTATGATTTCAAGCAGAGGATGCGGAGATTAGACCGCGTAAAACATCCAAATATATTGCCTGCCCTCGCTTTCTATTCTTCCAAACAAGAAAAGCTCCTGGTGTATGAATATCTGCAACATGGGAGTCTTTTCAATCTTCTCCATGGTAATTTTCTTGCAATTTTCCTGTTCCCCATTAAATCTCATGCGGCTACTTTTTGCGCACTTACTTGAAGTGTTATAAGATCTTATTACATCACCCAACGATTCGGAAAAGTGCTCATGTGTATTGGGCCCTTTATAATGGATGGAAATTGGTCGTGGAAAGTTCTCCAGCGTGCCTGTATTAATTAGAAACTCCCAAGTCCCAGGAGAACAGATCACAAGTGTAAAGAACATTCCTAGACAAGTTGCTTGCAAGGAACTTACTAAATCTTTAAGAAAAGTATTGTACTGATATTCTTTTCCAAGCAATAATTAAGGATAAAAGAAGATGAAGAAAAGATAAAGAAACATCATACGCTAAACAATTGCAGATTCCACCTGTGTTCACTATGATGGCGATGAGTTTGTATGCTTTGATAATGTTCCCTTAAAATTTCAGGAACGCAGATGGGCCGAACCTTCGACTGGAGCACTAGGCTGGACGTCGCTGCTAGCATAGCTGACGGCTTAGCTTTCATGCATCAAGAGCTTCGAGAAGACGGGATTGCTCATGGTAACCTGAAATCATCCGATGTACTGTTGACCCAGAATATGGAGCCGTACATAAGCGAGTATGGGCTGGTGTTGGACAGTCAAGATCCTTCATTAGCTGGCAGTGATAATTCCTACCAAGGAAACGGAGAACATCTCAACAGGGCAATATTCAGAGCGGATGTATATGCATTTGGGGTAATTCTGCTGGAGCTGCTGACAGGAAAGCTAGTCCAGAGTGATGGACTGGACCTGGCGAGCTGGGTTGTGTCCGTGGTTAGAGAAGAGTGGACGGTTGAAGTATTTGATAGGACATTGACTCGGGAAGGAGCTAGCGAAGCGAGGATGGTTAACTTGCTGCAGATTGCTATTAAATGCGTTAATCGGTTCCAAGAAGCCCGTCCAAGCATGAATGAAATTGCTGCCATGATAAGCACACTCAAAGAGGAGGAAGACAAATCCATGGACGATGCTTCCGCATTGATCAGTACCTCAATCTATGAGAGATCGCCATAATTGATCCAGAGAATTGCGGCTGCAGGAACATCCAAGCAGAGACAGCAAAGTACCATGCCAGTAGTGTTTCTTTGATGAATGTAGAATTTCTGTTCGAGTTAGACGGCATACCGTGACCCTGTTGCATATGGAGTACTACAAATTAAGCACTTCAAGTTGCAGCTCGACTCGGCTAGAGAGGAAAATTCCCTTTTTGAACCTTGCTTTCACTGTTGATTCTTCCGGAGTAAAACCTTACGAGTTTGAGGATTCATTAATGCGAGTTTTTCTTGTTTCCTACTCCACGGCGCCACTCATCATAAAGTTCAAAAATGAAAAAAAAAATTAATGAAATCAAGAAATTTCCTGTACTACTATTTTCTCTTGCCAGCTCCTAGCATTATCTATGGCCTGTCTGTTTTACTAGCACCTCTTCTTCTTGTCTTGTCAGCTGCGCTCCATCTTTGGATTACCTCCGGTGACCAACCCCACAAAAAGAAAAAAAAAGTGACGCGTAAAAACCCAAATTTCCAGGCACTTGCACATATTAGTGAAAGGAAAAGCAGCGGAGCAAACAGTCACATATGTTTGTTTACGACTAACAAATCTTTGTTCACTTTCTTTCTTGACGGTGGCTCCACTTTCACCAGGCTTATCGTCGTGTGCATCCAATCACCTCTCCACTCTTTTCACTATCCCCACCCGAGTGGTGCATCATCTTGTCCAACACCAAGATAATCGTCCATTTTGGGTTTGTGGTCTTGCAACTGTCAACGAGCCAGTAAGTCTTGCAAGATAGAATTCTGATTGCAAATTGGGTGGTGCTCGATAAACAGAGCATGTTGACTGACGGGCAAAGGATAAGTGTGATTCACAAAGCACCATCACAATCGAACAAGAAGACGGTATAAGAATTCTCTAGTAATATGTGGTAGTGGCTGCTGAACCATAATGAGTGCCATATTTTCCCATCTCCTCCTCGAGTCTCTCTCGTAATAACTTATGATAACTCAATTCAGCACTTAAATTTAATGAATTCAAATCTTACTATATTCAAACCGTTTGATACTTCCAAATTAAGTGATGACTTTGATTCCAAAACAAAAAAAAAACAGAAATCTGGAAGGTACGCAGCAGTATATGTTGCCTTCTATCATCAATACATTAATTTTCGCCCTAGAGAGTGGCTGTAATTAGCCCAACTATATGGGCCTGGACGGGTAACTCCAGTCGAGGCCCATACTTTGGGTGTACAGACACTGTCGTTTATGAAGTTGTCACGCTCTAATTTGGCGCGTTAGATATTCAGAAAAAAATTGCTTTTTTTTTTTTCCAAATCTTTCGCCCTTTATCTTTTTTGACGTTATAGTGGCTCCTTTTTGGATACTTTACTCTGCACGTCGACAAAGATCAGAAATTACAAAAAGAGAAAAGATTTTTTTTTTTTTTTTTAAAAAAAAGAAGAGAAAAAACAGAGAGAACAACAACTCCTCGGTCCTCACTCTGGCAACAAGCCAGCAACTATTTACCGTTTGTCAGGGCCTATTTTCCGGCTTCCATGGCTATCCTTCCTTACCCAACACAAAAAATACACTGAGAAAAAAGTGAAAAATATCCAACTTCCTATTTTTATTTATTTCACATACCACGAGTACACTAATAAAGTATGCTTATCAGTCAGCGGTGTCCATGTAGAAAGAGACTAGAGGAATAGAGAGAGAGAGAGAAAGAGAGGGAGAGAGGATTTTTAAAATCCATTTTTCCTCTTTACCTGATGTAAAAAGTGGGAGTCGAGATCCCTAATGGAGAGCCAGAGGCTGCGAGTTTAGGGTTTTTGCTGAGCAAGAAGTGGGTTATAAAGACTTCATTTCATTAGTGCTGACGATACTTACGAATTCGAGGAGGTCAGGAGGCTTCAATCAGCTGCTGCTCTTTTTGTAAATCTCTTCGTGTCGTCATGTTTCCCCATTATAATTGCTCAATCAATTAGTGACATATGGTTTTACAATCTGAAAGCAATAAATATTGCTGCTTTTTAGTACCACTACAAGTTACCATTGCCACCTTCGGTATCATTTGCTCAAATCTGAGAGCTAAAGTTGTGAACTTTAGGCATTGAAATTGTGGGGTTCAGTCAAAAGTTTTTATCTTTGCGGAAGTGAGAGGAGAAAAAACGAAAAAGGGATGCTTGCTTTTGGTTTGCTTCAGCAGAAAATGAGATTAATTCTAGTGTACTGAGTGCGGACGAGATGGCTTCTGAGTGTATCAAGTTGATCTGTTCAATGTCAGATGCAAGACGTCAGAGATGGCTTTCTCAGCATACCCATTTGAAAATGTCTTGGATTCAGCATCAACTTAATCAGAAAGATGGTATCTTGACATATCCACCTCCTTTCCCCCTCTCAGCTTCGTCTCCTCCTTATGTTACTGGTGATAATTTTCATAAAGAATCAAGTCATCCTACATCTTCATCATCTGGAACTAGGATTAGTCCTGCTGTTCTATTTATCATTGTAATTTTAGCTGTTCTCTTTTTCATTTCTGGTCTTCTGCACTTGCTGGTTCGATTTCTTATCAAACATCCATCTTCCTCAGCCTCTTCTCAGTCTAGCCGATACCCTGAAGTTTCCACCTCTGATGCCCTTCAAAGACAGTTGCAACAACTCTTCCATCTACATGATTCGGGTCTAGATCAATCTTTCATTGATGCGTTACCGGTCTTCGTGTACAAAGAGATTGTGGGTGCTAAGGAGCCGTTTGATTGTGCTGTTTGTTTGTGTGAGTTTTCTAAGAAGGATCAATTGAGATTGCTTCCAATGTGCAGCCATGCCTTTCATATCAATTGTATAGACACTTGGCTCCTATCCAACTCAACATGTCCTCTTTGTAGAGGGACTCTTTTCAATCCGGGATTCTCTATTGAAAACCCAGTATATGATTTTGATGATCTAAGGGAAGACGATGGATACCCTGTTAGCACCGAGAATGGAATCTCAACTCGCCAGAAGGCGGTTGAAATTGAGGAAGTTGCTGTAGAAAAGGGTGTCTTTCCCGTTAGGCTTGGCAAGTTCAGAAAATTGAGTGGTGAAGAAGGGGAGGCAGGAGGAGAGACTAGTAGCAGTAACTTGGATGCCCGCAGGTGTTACTCACTGGGTTCATACCAGTACGTGGTCGGCGATTCCCACCTCAGGGTGGCCTTGAGCCATGACCATATTGGTCGGGATGTGAGCCTTCTGAAAGACAGAGGACAAAGCAATCCTCCAGTCAGTGAGGATGGGGCAGGAAAGAAGATTGACATTGGGGCAAAAACTGATAGCTATTCTGTTTCCAAGATCTGGCTATGGCCTAGGAAGGGCAAATTTGCAAGTTCTGCAGACACCCCATCAGAAGATGTTTCTTTCGCTGCAGATTTGCCATGGATGCGGAGAGCTGAAGGCATGTGATATGTTAGTATTTTCATGTGCAATTGATAGTCACTCTGCGAGTCAATGTTTGCAATTTGCCTTTCATTTTAGAAAATTTTAGATAGAAGATGTGGCATGATATATTGACACCAGAGAGATCTATAATACGTTAGAAAGGTAAGGCTGCTTTCATGCTCTGCATACTTCCTCTTTCGCCTCCTTCAATCGTTTCAGGGCTTAGAAGCACATTTTGTGTACTAACTTTTGATGCCTCATGTCATGAGAAGGGAAGAGCATGCATGACTTGATTAGCATTTCCTCTAAGTTTTGCCATATTTCACTGTCTACATAGCCAGCAAAATCTGTACGTATACTTTCCCTCTTTGAAGTTGGGGTAAGTGTGTTTGTTTAAAGGAATTGAATGGGAGCAAAGAGTTGTTATGGTAATGAGGATTGCATCAACTTTGTTGCACCTTATTGTTCCCTTTGTCTTAGTATACAAGGCTTGGCGTTACAACGGTTTAGGTTAGCTGATCCCAGGCCTTTTCTAAAGAGTATTGACAGCCTTTGGAGTTTGGACATCTTATCTTCAAGGAATTGAAAGTCTTTGGCTGTTGAAATGACAGAATGATTAGAGTCTTGATAAGGGTCCAAATTATTTTTCTTTTTTATCAGCCTTTTGGTTGCCTCTAGGTGTCCCTTTTTCAGTTCTGTGGTGGAGTATTTGCTTTAGTTGTTATCATTTAGCTGGGGGTGATAATTGGCGGCGCAATAATCTTTTGTCTTGCATGAGAACAGTTTCGATGAGGCTGAAATTTTCCTGATTTTTAACTCCGACCGAGGATGGCATTTGTGTGTTTGTTTGTTTGTTTTGACTCTTTTTGTATCATCCCACTGCGTGGGCTTCCTCTTGGTTGGTATGACTGTGAAATATGAATCCTCATTGTCCGGTGACATGGTTGAAATTATTCCCTACTCGCTGCTTCGCTTTTGTTTCGGTCACAGTAGTGCTTGAAACCTTGAACCTGTATGGTTGGCGATAATTTTGTCCGATTTTGATGAGCGATCGAACTCCCCTGTAAATCTAAATGGAGGTCATTTCTATCTACCTCTGAAAGTTTTGAGGGTTGAAGTTAAACTCGCTCCTTGTAGTATCTGTACCAAACTGCCAAAGTAAATACTCCCATTTAGTGTGCTAGTATAAATGTATAAATGAAATGCATAAGGAGGACCTTGTTCTTTTGTTCAAGCTTTTTAGTAAAGAAAAAGAAGGAAACAATTATAATCACATCTTTCAAACCAAAAAAAAAAAGGAAAGGAAGCACTCACACAGCGTTTTGGAGGCCCCAATCACAGGGTGGACCCAGACCTTGCAAGTACTTGAGTGACTGGCTCCTCCTGATTGCTGAATGACCTTTTTCTTCATGTATCAAGGCACCACCAAGAAATCTTCTCGCAATCCACGCGCCACTCTTCCGTTCTTTAAGCCATAGTTATTAAACCCGGCTCAGGAAGAAACCCAATGAAAAAGGTGGATCAACGGATTATTAGTTCAATCAGTGTGAGTGAGTGGTTCAATCAGTGCATCATTAAATATATTTAAATATTATATTTCATAATTTTTGATATAAGATATATGATATAAATTGTAATAAACAATACTTTAGCAAATGCTGATTTAATTTAATTCACTGTAGAATAATCAATAAATTATAAATTTATTTAGTAATCTATCAAACTTCAAGTGTAAAATTTTATCCGTATTTAGTGTAATTATCTAACTTATTTACGAATTTTAAGTGCAAAAAATTATTAAAAACAACATTTGTCTTTAAAATGAATTATTTAATATGTTATTTTTTATATTCATTTTATAACTTATAGAGTTTGGGGGGTCATAAGTTTTTATTAAAAGATTTCAAATAAATTTGTTTTAAAAAATAAAAAATATATATATAATTGACAAAACATTTATATATTATAAGAAAGTTACTCTACTAACATTTGGTAAGTGGTTTGGTGGTAACTAAGTTCTAGTTATATACTTAAGGTCCCATGTTTGAATCTTAGCAAAAACTAACTAAATTTTTTCCACAATTGTTTGTAGACAAAATCGATCGGGTTCCTAGGTTAATCCGATTGAATCACCGAATCATTGACCGGTCAACGATTCTTATGCTTAAACGGTCTAATTAGAAATCCAGCTCTGCCCAATGATTGGTTCACGGGGTCGGCCGAATTTAATAACTATGCTCTAAGCTATTTTTGGCTCATCGACTTCTCCTTCATGGTTCTATAGCAACATAGTTAAGTCACCTCAACAACATCCTCCAATTAGTCTGGAATTTTGAGTGATTTTAAATCGCCTCTAAAGTTATTGGAAGGTCAGACATTGAATTATCACATAATAAAGGGTTTACTATTAAAATTGATTTTTCCCTCTTTTTCAGGAAACAAAACACAACAAAGTTGCTTCCATGAACCCCATCCAGTTTATTTTCTTTTTTCCTGTCAATCGTCACTTATCTACCATGCATCTACTTCTATTTTTACTACTACTCTAACATATTTTAAGAGGATGGTCCAACTGGATTTATAGGAAAATCGACGGGGTCTGTATCACCATTAGACCAAACGGATGGTCTACAGAAGAATCGAAAACTGAACCATCATCGGATCAGATGAGTGCACTGCACGTATGGAATTAGAGCAAGGCACTGGATACGCATCTCCATTTTAACTCCACAATAGTACAGGTCGTCATCAATGTATCAAAGGCGTGGATTTAGACAACCCTCCTTAACCGAAAGCAAAGCTTTATTAAGGGTGTGGATTTAGACAACCCTCCTTAATTTGATAGTAATACTTTGGCCAGCGCTTGAATTTTGGCCCAGGGAAGACAAGCAGAGAAATAAAGTTGAAACACATAAAGAACGACACAGCCTGTTCAGTTGGCAATACTTGAGAGGTTCGTTCGTTAGCCTTGTTTGTTACCTTTTGTCATTGACAGTAACCAAGCAGAGCTCGATAAGGATATGTCATTGACAAAAACAAAATCTTTTCCGCTGTTTTCTACAAGTATAATTTAATCCCAACCTATAAAACCACAACCCCTTTATTTTTTGCTCCTATACAGCCAAAAATATAAATACAAAAGAAAACAGTTTAACACTATGCTAGGAGAGTACCAAAAAGATTGAATGTAATCAAGAAATAGAAGTGTTTGGGAGATGCATAATTTTGTGTAATAGAAAATGAAAAAAGAAAAAGGAAATCCCAACTAATCCGCTTGACAACACGGGTCAGAGCCCGTTAAGTGGGCTCCAGGCTCCTTAAGTTGGCAAATTGTGCGCCGCACTTGCAGCCCATCCCTCAGCGCAGCGTAGCAAGCGGCCCCATCCGTCTAAACAACTTCATTCATCACGTGTAACTCACGTGAACGCTGTTTCCATCCTTCCCCGCCTCCGCCACCGCCACCGCCACGAGCGACTTGGCCGTTACCCTCCCGGGAGTTAAAGCAAACCTAGACGAGAAATCACGGAAAAAACGATCATCATCCCCAAACAAAGGGCCATTTGAACCCGGTCCCTCGTCGAAATTCAAAGCGTAACTAACAGGATCATATTGGAATTTCCCTCCGCCCTTGAGCCCGCGGGTCTTGTTAAACCGGCGGATGAACGTTTTCCATTTTGGGCCAGCCACCAGTTCCGACCATCCTCTGATTTTCTTTAAAGCGTTCAAGCTTTTGTCCCACCAATCCCATCTCCACCTGGATGTCTCCTCTTTTTCTGGCGTCGCAGATATCCTCTCCCAGACCGTGTCGGACTGGCCAGAACCGAAACACGGGAGCCAGAAACAGCAGCCCCTCCGGTTGGCGAATGCCAACTCTTCCTGCATTTCCTCATCGGAGTCTGTCTCCGTTGACGAAAACTCCGGAATGTTGTTGTTGTTGCTGTTGTTGTGTGCGGCCATCAACACACAAAAGTAAGAAGAGATAGAGAGAGAAATGGGCTTTTCCCTCGTACTCTCGAGAAACCCTAACCCTAACACACACACACACTCTCTCTCTCTATCTATCCATGTATCTTCCCTCCCCCGGCTCCCTTGCCCTGAGAGCTTCAGTGGCCTATATAAGTCTCAGAACGGTGGAGAGAGGGGAAGGGGTGACCTATACTAGGCTGCCTGCAGCCTTGGGGCTACACAGCGTAACGAAAATACCGTTGGGAAAAGGTTACCCGCCGTGTCTGTGAATGAGGTGGAACTCTCTTGGGGAGCGGGCCTGCTGATTAGTGGAGTATATCCGTTGATAACTAAGGAGGTCACAGCTGGATCCAGTGACTGGGGCCAGCCCAAAACTCTTCATAAAGCCAGGTGGATATTAGTTGGAAGGGAATTGTTATTCCTACTCCCATTTTTATTAATCACACTTTCATTATCATTATTGTAATCATATAATTTTTATTTATTAAATTATAGGATAAGACAAATGATAGTAATACAAATAACAAATAAAAAAAAATGCAGCAACATTTTCCTAGTATGAAAACTACTAAAAACACTCATTTCCCAAATAAAAAAAATGAAAATTTTAAAAAGGGGCTAATGGAGAATAGATACAACAATAATTAAAAGTGTTTTTTTTTTTTGCTTTTAAATTTCGATGACATTTGGATTCTTATCATTAACATGCCATTTTCACTTTGTCTTCTTTTTTCTTTTTAAATAAAAAAACAAAAACAAATAGGTACACTATGAAAATGCAATTTGTTGCACACATAAAAAGTTTGTTTTTATTTCCATGATTTTCTACGTAAAATATTTAGAGGGGAGTAAAATATCCATCATGGATTGGGATTGTTTCTCAAAATTGTGACATGGCAAGAGGGTTTTATGATTGCGGGGGCACTGGGGAGATGATTAATGAGTAGGTACTGCAATTAAGGTGGGTGTATTAGTTGGTGCTCAACTGTCACTGATTCTTGTTATTGAACACTTGAGTACTAATCGACAAAAAAAGACAAAAATTAAAAAAGGGAAGTCTCCAACTATGTATATACACGGAACTATATTAGTGTGGTGCTTATGGTGCTAGGGGGCCTCAATTAGAGCAGTTAATCGAACTGAGTCGAGCCGAGTATTTGGCTGCCGAGCTCGACTCGAGTTTATTTCAAGCCAAGCTCGACTCGAGTTTGTTAGGCAAACGAGTTTTAAAATGTGTTCGAACTCGACTCGTCAAATATACATGTGACTCGAGCTCGAACTCGTGCAAATTAATTTCAATAAAAATCTATAATTTTCAATTTTTATACTTTTGATTTCTAAAATGACAAATATACTCTTTATTAACGAGTTCTAACGAGATATTCGGATATCAAACGAGTCGAACTCGACTCGTTTACCGCAACTAACGAGTCGAGCTCGAGCTTTATCGAGCCGAGTTCTAACAAGTTTTTCGAGTTACTCGTGAAGTTTAACAGCTCTAGCCTCAATCCTCGTCTGACAGTGGTCACCAACATATGTTTCTCTTTTATTTTTTCCTTGCAAGTGTTATTATTACTAGTTCACTAGGTAGGTGCGTGTTTGTCATGTATTATTCCCGCATTTGGTGTCGTTAACATATATTTTAAGTGTTAAATTTTAA